AAAATGCTACAACAGGCCAGGGACCAGAACCGACGTCGCCGACAGCAGTTTCTGTAAGCTCGGTTGTCTCGGAACACTGTGAGACAAAAACTCCCCGTGAACTAAGTAGTACCAATGAAACCAGAAGCGGTCACAGTACTGGGCCAGTTAGTGAAGACACAAGTGATAAAATTGTGAAAGTGACGGGAGATTTGAAGACCGATTTCCTGTCCAAGTTTCCGAAAAGGCTACTGCCAAAGACGAATGTAACGAGTCTGACGTACCCTGTTTCGGCTGGCCTTCATTTTAATTGGACGCAAAATGAAGGGCTTCTGAATCTCGAAAACTCCATTGCTGGAGTGTACACTCTTCCCGGCATCAAGGAAAACTACAACATTGGGAAGCCAGAAGCCAAACTAAAGGCCCAAACTGCCAACAAGCGCGTAAAATGCCTTTCAAAAAGGAACTTCCTTGCTCAACTACAAAGTGGAAAGCGCTGCCTGACACTTAAGGCCCGTTCACACTCTTGCAACCGAGTGCGACCGAGAGAGACCAAACCGGTTTTTAAGCCTCTTGCGATCTCTTAGGACCAGCTCCGCTCAGTGCATCCGGTCCCAAGAAGTCTTTCTCGGTCGTAGTCGGTTGCAAGAGTGTGAACGCGCCTTTACTGTGCGTGAAACAAGGTGCAATCATCATTTCGGGAAGGTCATCCTTATTTCGTGTGTGTGTGTGTGTGTGCGCGCATTTTATGTGCTTTTTTTAATGACTTCTACGGTGTTAATAATTATTGGATGTTATTCGGCACTACCGGCTTTTCTTTTCTGTTAATAAAAAGCATGCCCACGATAGAATGTGCACGTGATCTGCCGCCCCAGAACGAGCGCGTAGCCTCTGCTAGGGCTCAAACAGGATACGTTCACATGGCAAAATGGAAGCCTGAAGTATCGCACTTTTTCGCCAACTCCGCCAAAGTTTTAAAGTCCCGACGTCGGAAGTCTGAGAGCTTTGGACCAATCGTGAAAGATGATAATAGGATTTTTGAGTCAGTGTTATTCTGTTTTTGACCCGGTTTTACTCTGATTTGCTCGGTTCTGGAGCGAAATTTATACAAAAACGAGAACGTTCCACTCCGAAACCAGGTAAAACTGAATAAAACGGAGCAAAGTCTAATGTGAATACATAATCCAGTTGGTGCAATCGTTTACGCTATTACTGTTACTGAAACATCCTGGAAAACAAAAGGACAGAATACACCGCTAAAACTGCAGAGTTCCGATGATACCTGAATTTCGTGGCTTGCCTATATATAATTATTCATGAATCTTGTGCATACTATGTGCACACACAATGTTCCCGTTCCCCATAGTCTTTTCTTTATGTTTTACTGGCAGCCGCATGTTTTATAATACGAAGGAGGACAGTACATAATCAGGAAATTCTAAAACACGTGACAAAAAAGAGTTTATATTCACTTTATTAACTGAATGTTTTATTTAATTGGTGTCTACATGGCCCAACCCAAGTTATATAGCTAAAAAAAGATGTTTATTTGACAGAGAGGAACCCATCGGGCACGCACGTATCTGCACGGGGGGAAGGGCGGGGGGGGGGGGGGGGGGGACCATGGCCCCCCCCCCCCCCCTCCTCCCAAACCTTTCATTTGGTGGGGCCTCCTTTCCCCCCTCCCCCTCATACAGTATTTTGTCATGGGCGAATCAAAATCCTGGCTGCGTGCCTGTCATCGGGTATATTTGCGGCAAAAATTATTTTCCTGTGCTCAAAACATAAAACTTTAGTATATAACAACTCTAATTTCTCCACTAAGCATACTGTTTAACCTGATAGATGCCCACTTAATAGATTTTATGTTCTGTATTCTCAGTCGACCATTAAAAGTTCTCGATCCGAAATGCATTCCATTTCACCAATGAAGCTTTCAGTTTAACCAGTACAACTTGTTATTGGTCCTATTGAAAGACCAATAGGCACTTGTATTCCGGACCAGAAAACATTCGTGTTGTTCCCATAGAAGTTTCTACTTGTCCCATAGAAGTTCCTGCTTGTCCCACAGAAGTTCCTAATGGTACAAGAGAAGTCTGTATTGGTACGATATAACTTGTTATCGGCCCAGTAGAAATGCCCATCGGTACGATGAAATCCTATTGATCGCATAAAAATCTCTATCGGTCCCATAGAAAATTTTTGCAAGGGTGTGCTAATTTGGCGATTGAGCATTGTCACTGCCATACTGCACCGAGTTCACTTCTCTGCAGTGCATGGCTCTTGGCTATCTCCCGTACAATGTCTCTGCCACATAGCGCCACTGGCTGCAATGAGCGGTAATGAGCAAACTGAGTGTCGTGCACATTGACACAATTGGCATCATGGCGCTTGCCCCCTAAAGTTGACTTTCCCTCAACCGATTCTTTGGCCTTCCCCCGTGCTGCGGCTTCTCTGCAGCATTTCCAGTTGCACCAATGTGCAAAACATCGGATTTTTTCATCGGCGCCAATTGCACATTCATGCTCATAGGCTTTGGCTATGCATTTCAAATGGAACAGGCCTGCCATTTCCAGCAGGGCGATGATACCTGAATTTCGTGGTTTGCCTATATATAATTATTCATAAATCTTGTGCGTACTATATGCCCACACAATGTTCCCGTTCTCCATAGTCTTTTTTTTATGCTCCACTGGCAGCCGCATGTTTTATAATACGAAAGAGGACTATACGTAAGTAATCAGGAAATTCTAAAACACATGACAAAAAGATGTTCATTTTCACTTTATTAACTGAATGTTTTAATTAGTGTCTATATGGCCCAACCCAAGTTATATAGCTAAAAAGAAAAGGTTTGTTTGGCAGATAGGAACCCATCGGGCAGGTACGTATCTGCAGGGGGAAGGGGGGGGGGGGGGGAACCCATGGGGCCTGCCCTTCCTCCCCCCCCCCCCCCCCCCCAAACCTTCCATTTGGTGGGACCTCCTCTCCCCTCTCTCCCTCATACAGCATTTTGTCATGGGCAAATCAAAATCCTGGCTGCGTGCCTGCCACCGGCTATGTTTGCGGTAAAAGTATTTTCCTGTGCTCAAAACATTTCTCCACTAAACATACTGTTTAACCTGATAGATGCCCACTTAATCGATTTCATGTTCGGTATGATCCTCACCTTAAATGGTCCAATAAAAATTCCCAGTAGACCATTAAAAGTTCTCCATCCGAAATTCATTTTATTTGACCAATAAAGCTTTCAGTTTAACCAGTACAACTTGTTATTGCTCCTATAGAAGGACCAGTAGGCACTTGTATTGAACCAGAAGACATTCGTGTTGTTCCCATAGAAGTTTCTACTTGTCCAATAGAAGTTGCTAATGGTACAATAGAAGTCTGTATTGGTACGATATAACTTTTTAGCGGCCGAGTAGAAATGCCTATTGGTACGATAAAATCCTATTGATCCCTTAAAATCTCTATGGGTCCCATAAAAAAGTTTTACTAGGGTGTGTTAATTTGGCAATTGAGCACTGTCACTACTGCACCGAGTTCGCGTCTCTGCAGTGCATGGCTCATTGCTATCCCCCGCGCAATGGCTCTGCCACGTAGCGCTACTGGCTGCAATGAACGGCAATGAGCAAACTGAGTGTCGTGCACATTGAAACAATTGGCATCATGGCGCTTGCCCCCTAAAGTTGACTTTCCCTCAACCTATTCTTGTGCCTTCCCCCGTGCTGCGGCTTCTCTGCAGCATTTCCAATTGCACCAATGTGCAAAACATCGGATTTTCTCATTGGCGCCAATCGCACATTCATGCTCATAGGTTTTGGCTATGCATTTCAATTGGAAAAGGCCTGCCATTTCCAGCAGGGTTTGGCGAAAAGTAAATCCGGTTGCTGTACAAAGCTCGTACTGGTGTAGGCCTTTAGCGACCATGAGTGGAAGTCTGAAATAATAAATAAAACGGGCTCTCCTGCCGCAATACACGCAGTAGTTGAGGGTAGTACTGCCGGCTGACTCAACTGCTATTTAAGTAACGGAAAAAAGATATGCTAGTTGGTCATTTAGCAAAATAGAACAACAGAGAGCTATAGGCTGATCTTGGAGTAGCCACAACTATTCTAAGAACGCGAACCACTTCACAACGGCAGCCACGAGCGAGAGTTCGATGTTCGGTAGAGCCCGCCGATACAGCCCAAAGATGGAGAACGGCAACCTCCCGGTTCGTCGACTGCTAGTGGAGTCGGGCGCGTGCCCTCTCTCTCGTTTTACCCCGCCGAACCCGCTGAACTTCCCGGATCTGTGGAGAGGGCGCTGCGGTCGAACAAAATGGTGCCGCCCAGAGAGAGCGCAGATTCCTGATTCCTGAGCTAAAATATTGACCAAATTAGTTGCGTACGTTAAAGGAGGACAATTTAGCTAAAGTCAGTGGCAGGTTAAAAACTCAGTAGTATACGTGCTTTTAACGACACTTCGACGCACGCCCAGTCAACGCCCGGCGAAAGGCGACGAGCGCGTGTTGGAGGCGGAGCATCTATACGGTGACAGGTTCAGAGCAAAGTGGAAGCTCCTCCCACATCTTTCCACTTTAGCAAAGTGAACGCTGGCGAGGAGGCGACCTCCTCTCCAGCGTTCGCTCTGCTAAAGTGGAAAGGGGTGGGATTGAGCTGGGGAACTTTACTCTTAACCTATCACCGACCAAACTTGGTTCTCACAACCTGGCATGTTTGACGCGAATCACGAAGTAGTAATTACGTTGCTGCACGCCGGTTGAAGCGACCCAAGTTTCTCGCAGTCTGACAGAGGACTATTCGACCTTGGCGCCGTGCAAATAAGGTACCACTTGCGCGTTCAAGGGTCTTTAATCCCCCCTCCCCCCCCCCCCCCCCCACACACACACACACGAAAACATATTTCCTTTTTTTTGGGGGGGGGGGGAGGGGGGGGGGGGGGGGTCAAGCGTTTTTCAGACCGGAAGTACGTTGGTTGCAAGATTCATAAGAGGTGCATCACCTGCACGCTCGCAGACCGTCGACGTGATGCCGTCTGACCTGTTCTCGGCGCTGTGCCTGATGCGGAAAAAGCAGCGACGCCTGCTGGCTCTTACGGGGTCGACCACCGAGACGCCGCCCATCGGTGCCCTGGTGCCCTACGGCTGCTGTTCCATTGGTACGTGTTCATAACCACTCACGGATGGGTGTGCCTTACTAAGGCCGCTCTATGGCGATTTTGTAAAATTAACAGCGCAAATGCGACAATTAAGGATAGACAAGGGAGACAGGATAGAGCGCCGACTAACAACTGACGTTTAATGAAAAAGAGAAAGACGAAAAAGAACCTAAAAATGCTTTTAAAATGTGCCTTGTCTATCCTTGTCGTATTTGCGCTGTTAATTCCACAAAATGATCAACCAACTAGCCCACCATATGATTGTGATGCAGTTTTCCTCTATGGCAACATCATCTAGATTCTAGAATAATGTGGGCCTCTGAACGCCCCACTCTTCCTCCCTGGTACGTCATCACAGCCGAGCGTCCTTCGACGCGCTGATTGGACATGAGGACAAGCCGAGCACTGACGCAGCACTCGTATCCAATCTCTGTCTTCGCTCCATCTCACCGCGATGGCGTCAAAATTCTAGTCCACAGGATTTGATTGTCCTAGGTGGTGATGTTTAGGGGGGGTATTCACTAGATACCGTTTCTGAGTGCGCTGTTCAGCGCGCACGCTTAGAACGAGCTCTCATTTATGGGTTGCTAAGCACCAGCGATCTTGACAGTGTGGAATGCGCGTTGCAAAAGAACTGTGAAAGCTCGCCGTCTGCACACACTTAGCGGCCGCGTACTCAGCCATGGCTTTCCTTCTTACCAACACGCTCATCCTCAAATATTTATCTGCCCCTTTCCGACAGACGACGCCATTTATGAGTGCAGCTAGAGGTGAAAGAGACTTTGTCGGCGGTTGGCTAAGAGATGTGCACTTGTCGTCAGTGATTGTGATGACATGAGTCTCCGTTGAACTCTGACGTAACATTCGTGTCCACGATCATCTTTAAGGGGTATTCAGACAAGGGAAAAATCCCTGGAGATTTCTCCACAGCACTCGCATCCGGCGACGAAAACGTCAGGCTTTGCGATGTGCAAAAGCCTCGCGTTTTCGTCTCGTGATGCGCGCGCGCCGGGGAGAAATTCGCGGGATTTCTCCCTCGTGTGAATTTAGGAGTCGGCGATAATTCATTCAGACCCACTGCCGGGACGTCAAATATTTTAGTGCACTGGCTTTGATTGTTCTAGGTGGTGTTGCCTGAACGCTCATCCTGCCTGAATTACAATAGTGTGCCTAGATTTCAGAGTATTTGCAATATGAGCTGCGAGGAGGTGACGAGAGTTGATCGCCTGAAAGCGACTCTTCCTTCCCTCCCGCCTTTCTCCTCGCCGCGTGACAATGCAACGGATGCGCTGCGCAATTGCAACCAATCTACGCCGGTGATGTCAGCCATTAAAATGCTCTCTACGGTTTGGGCGCGTCTCCCTCTAAAATGTATTCTGTCTACCATGCCATCACCTGCAGACATTCCACCAATGGCCATCAACGGTGTGGCCAAGTCACCACCGCCGTCGTCGGGTGACCCCATCATGACCAGCAAACCGAAGCGAGTGGTGGTCAAGCGCTCGCCGAGCATCGGGGTTCCGGCCTGGATGACACCGGAAGACGCCCTGCACTTTCTGCGTTTCGCGTGGGGCTGCTACGGATGGCCAGCCTACATGATGTCGCATCTCTGCACGGGACTCTGCAACCTCTGGAGCGACATCAGGTGCGCTGACATGCCTCGGGGCGCATCCTGCACTGTAAAACATTTCCCACTCTCAAAGGCCGGTTAGTAGAACGCTGATGCAAGGCTATTTTGAACAGAACTTAGCACTGATGCGGCGCTGTATCACTGCTGTGTTACTAATACAGTGTGAAGTCGTCGCTGCGTCGGCAAAGTCAGCGATATGTCAAGCGTTGACTCATAGCGCTGAGTACCGCTGTGGTGTATTCGGGAACAGGCCTTTATGGTGAACTCTGCCATGATGTATGCTGACTAGTACAGAAGTTCCAGAAAGTGCTAGCCCCTTTCTCTTTATCTCTGCTACTTTCTGGAACTTTCACTTACCTTCAGATCAGGGGCTCTAAGCTGGACATTTGGTGGGAATGTCGCCGAGATTTCTGACGGCCGCGATTGGACAGCGCCGCGCTTGGCCTTGGCGCTGGCCAGTCGGGGTCGTCAAAAATCTCGCAGACTTTTTCGCCGAGTGACCAGTTTAGAGCCCCAGCATAGGGTCAATTTGCGTGGTGGTAAAATTCCTACCAGCTTACCTGCACCCTTTATTATTTTATTTTCTGCATTGGGGGAAGGGGGGGGGGGGACTTAGCGTTTTAAAGGTGACCACTAAGGTCAGTTACGTCCCTCCGGTAAACCGGAAACGGTTAGGTGCCAACCAGGGATGGGCAAAATACATGCAAATATGTATCGAAATACAAACACAAAATACTTCGTCAAAAATGTATTTAATTACAAATCTAATTACACTTCCAAAAAAGCATTTAAGTACAAGATACAAATACAACCAAATGTATTTGGTCTCCTCCAAATATATTTTCCAGATACATTCCTCAAAATTTGCGTCAGCGGGGTTTCTGGCTATCTCATTTTAATTTTGCATCGCACACTCGGGAGTTAGTGTGCGAGGCTCTACTAACGTAAGAGGAATATAATTTTTAAAAAATGTAATCAGCTTGGACGTAATAGGTGAAAAAAGTACAGAGCTTCAAGCAGCTTTTTTTGTCGATTACATTTTGGTATACATGCCTTGCACGTGACGTCATATGGCACCGTACCAGCCGCCATTGCTCCGTACCAGGTTCCTGTATGGAGCCTTCTGCGGCATACATTTGGCACCATCGAATCAGCTCTTCTCGGCAAGCCTTGACCAGAAAAACAAATTCAATGGTGTCAAATGTAGGCTGCAGAATTTACGGGCACAGGAGAACGGTACGGAGCAATGGCGGCTGATGTGACGTCAATGCAAGCCATGTATAGACCAACAAAGAACCGAGACGACCAAAACGCGCAGCACTAGCTAGAGAATTTTTTTATTGTTGCAGCTCGCACCAGTTACGAAAATCTAGACGACCCGCGCATTCAGAATGTTCCAGGCATGGAGAATAGAAGGGTAGGAGAGGGCATGACGTCAGCCGCGTAGCCTCCACAAGCCATGCTCCCTTGATGCCTCGCCTCTTTCTCATTTTCCTCCTTACTCTCCTCACTTACCATGCCAACGTGACCACATCACGTGACCGGAGCTAGCCTTGGCCTCGCTATGGGGTACTAGAATACACCACAGTCTAGTCTTCGATCTGATAAAACCTACCGGACGGAGCGCGCGCAAGCCTGCAAGGAGTCCTACAATCAACCATCCATCTCACACGTGACATGTCACGCGCACCAATCACCAGACAGATCTGCGGTCACGCTGGGCACAAAATCGTTTAAACTTTTTATGACTAGGCTTCACCAATATTGCAACGTGCCCCCTCCTAGTACTTCTAACCTCCTTGGTTCCAGGCAAAGATATGGATGGAAATCAGGCTGGAAAGCATCACAAGTTGTCACAGGCACTCCCAGTTAAAAATAACCATTGGGTCCAATTAGTTATTGACAATTAGAACCAATGGGGAATCCTATCTGTGATTTCGGACTCCTAGTTAGAAAAAGTCAATTGGTTCCAATTAGTTGTCGACAATTAGAACCAATGGGGAATCCTATCTGTGATTTCAGACTCCTAGTTAGAAAAAGTCAATTGGTTCCAATTAGTTATCGACAATTAGAACCAATGAGGAATCCTATCTGTGATTTCGGACTCCTAGTTAGAAAAAGTCGATTGGTTCCAATTGTCGAAATCTAATTGAACATCACCAATTCGAACCAGTTCGGCATTGTCAATAGGATGCAACCAATTGGAAAAACCTATTTCTGTTTTCGGACTCCCAATACAAAAAAAAAGCAATTGGTCCAACTGTTCAAATCATATTGACAGATACGAATTGGGACAACTGTTAGTGTTTGGATATTCCAAACTAGAAAAAGTTGCAACTAGATCTAAAGGTAGATAATCATGACAGTCTTTATTTAACTTATTAGAAATGATTTCTTGCTTCCAGGCATCGTTGTTTTCTTCCAGGATAGCAGCTGCAGCTTCCCTAAAATAAAGGATAAATATGCATTAAATGACCTTATGAGACTATAAATGTTTAAATCAAGCTTAGAAACATACTAAACATTTTTTTTTTTTTTTTTTGCTGCAAAAGAAATTAGTTGTTGTGGTATAAACCTGCAGGCCTTGCATTAAAAGGCAAACATCCCTGGGTGACTGAAAAACTCTGGTCAAAATTAGGAGATGAAGCTTTTGCCGAGACTGGGCTAAATTTGCATCTGGGATGGTTTAAGACTACTAAGTTTCCTATGAGCCTGTAAGACATATTCTCTGCTATAAAGAGAAAAAACAGTCAAATCAAAGGCATCTCTGTAAAGCTGGCTAGTGCACCTGAAAAATGCTTAAAGTGTGCATGGGTACGTGAAAAAATAAGCGTCTTTCGTATCTCGAAAAGAAATCATGCATTGCAGGCTGTGTTCCAAATCTTACTCAAATGGATCAGAGGCAACGCTGGATGCGGGTAGGTTTCTCAACTTACCCTGATTGAGACAGAGTAAATTTTGAAACATAGCTGCAAATAGTCCGCCGGATGAGATGCGAAATTTTCGGCACCTACTGTTATTAAGAAGTCATCAACTTTCGGAGGTAATGACCCATCATCACCGACCGACCGACCCCCCCACCCCACTTCCCACTCATCGAAACTTCCCCCGAAATTACTTAATTTTGAATCCCAAAGCTTCAATTTTTGAAGCTGTGCCCAGTCAGTGTTTTCAGCAATTCATAGTTTAGTTTTGAGATGCTTAAAACGCACTTAACTTTCCTCGCAGATATTCAACAACTTCCGAACTGATAGCTGCCCGGAAAATGTTCTTCTCTAAAGCTATACATTCACGCTCGTATCGTTCACCCAAGATCAAGCGACGAGTGTCTCAGCAGATCTAACAATCCGAAATCCCCAAACTGCAGCGCAGCAAGGACAAAGAAAATTTCTTACCTTGCTCCCATAAACGTTTGTTGCCAATCCTTCGCGCTCTAACAAGCTGGCAGGTCAAATGAAGTAATTATCACCGCACCATTGAGCACTCTGCAGCACTAAAACACAAAAGAACTTTCTTGAATCATCGCCATAACCATGCTACGAATGCCGTGCACGCCAACGTCGCCATGTGCTTCACGCTCCCACCGTCCTCGCGGCGCCATCTTTGCCGCCCAGTGTACACCGACGCTGCCCGCATTTCCGACTAATTCTAGCAACAGATTTTTTTTTCTTTTTTTTTTTCGTTTTTTTTTTTTTTAATTTAATAGTGTACAAATTTTTTCCCCTCTTTCAAATTGCGATGTTGAAAAAATTTAGTGCAACGCAATACTGAAAAAAAAAAAATTGCGATCTTTGGAAACTTTGTGGTGAGGATAAAGAAATAATGGCAAGTTCTGTCTAACTGGTTTGACCAATTAGGTGACCCAGTGATCCCAATCGGAGATCAATAAAATTCAATTGGAAACATTGAAAACATAAAGTTGGAAACATTGAATCCAACTAGAGTGACCAATTAGGTGACCCAGTGCCAACTGAATTTTATTGATCCTAATTGGGATAACCAGTTGGAAACATTGAATCCAATTGAGTGACCAATTAGGTGGCCCAGTAACCAGTTGGAAACATTGAATCCAATTAGAGTGACCAATTAGGTGGCTGAGTGCCAATTGAATTTTGTTGGTCCTAATTGGGGTAACCAGTTAGAAACATTGAATCCAATTAGAGTGACCAATTAGGTGGCCCAGTGCCAATTGAATTTTGTTGGTCCTAATTGGTGTAACCAATTGGAAACATTGAAACTAATTAGAATGACCAGTTGGATGACCCAGAACCAATTGAATTCCATTGACTCCAATTGGTTCCAATTGAATATCCTAATTGGAGCCAATGGTTATTTTTAACTGGGCTTATTTAGCCAGTCTGCCTGCGAACGTCGATTTCGTCACTATTCTTGCCCTGGACTAGCACCGTAATCACAAAGTCACTAAACGCTTGTGCTTGATTGAGAGACACTGCATTCGGTGCAGAACGTAGTTTTCTTCCTACTCTGGACAGTGATAATAAATTTGAGGAAAGTATTTTCGCCCACAAAATTGTATTTAATTACAATTGTATTTGAAATACCCACGTTTTAGTATTTAAATACACACGTCAAATACAATACCCAATTTGTAATTAAATACAAATGCAAAATACACAAAGTATTTGAAATAAGTATTTGAAATACTTGTATTTGAAATACTGCCCATCCCTGGTGCCAAACATATCGCACAGTCTCTGCTAAAAAAAAAAGTTCCGCTTAATGAGGTTTTAGGGTGAACCTTTCCGTCGGTCTTCCAACTGAGCAGGATTAAACTTGTTTCTGCTCTTCACCCACTTCCTCACTCGCTGCAAGCGCACGACTTTAATGACAGTCTACCGTTCGTTTTGACCTTCAAAACGAACGGCTCAACAACTTCTAGGTAAGAGGGCCGTAGCGCGGGAGTTTCTCATCGGAGATCAGCGCGAGATATTGAACACGAGTGCGCGCTCGGTATGTAGTCGTGTTTGTTCACTGGGGACACCAAATTCAGTTGAACGCTGACCCATAACTCGAGTCCAATTAAGTCTTGTGTAGCATCATTTTGATGCCGCTAGTCTGCTACTTGAAACTGCCAGGAGCCAGCCATTTATCACGTTGAGGATACGCAAGATTGCTCGAATCGCCATAAAGGTATATGCAGCGTTGTTCTATTTATTAACCCTGTCATTCGTTTTTTTTAATCATGGGGCTGGAAGGCAGCGACGCTGGTTCATGCCCCCTCCTTCGTTTTTGTCTCTGCTTGCGCATACAAGTTCCCTACGTGTCATGCACCAACTAGCCTGAAAACAAGTCGCGCAAGACCATGTTGTTGCTTAGGATAATGACGACGGCAATGATGATGTTGGTGGTGCTGCTGCTGATGATAATGAACCGGGTTTTGCTATCGTCACCATGACGTTGTCTCTCCTCCAGGTGCTGCACGTGCCTCCGCGGCCCCAGCGAGAACGTAACCGGAGACAATTGCTGTGAGTGCCACCTGGCGACCGTAAAGCACCTGACCAAGGTGCCCCCCGAAGACCTGCTCTTCTCGTGCTTCGAGAACGGTTTCTGCAGAGTGCCCTTCTACGTGGCCCTTGATCACCAGACGCGCTCCATCATGGTGGTCGTCAGGGGCACCCTCTCGGCGGACGATCTGCTCACGGACCTCACGAGCGTCCTTGAAGGTATTAGTGCCAAGACGTTTGAATGGCGCCCTCTTGTGGCTTCCGTTCGTGACGTCACGACCAATTTTGCCTCGCCGTGACGTCACAAGTAGTGATCCTCGATACTTGCCGTCGGTTTCAAGCGATAGGTTCGAATTTGTTTCTAAAAACACGGGGGAAGCTCAAAGAGGTAATCTTGAATGGCAACTAAGCAATTTTTAATTAATGAAAATTGAATATAATATTACATACTTAAAGATAGCTTTGCTCGCACATCGTTTGTTTCCTTTGGATTCTAGGGCGAGCTATTGAGGACATATATGTCAATTAGTTAAATAGATTATTACTAGAAAATGTTGCCGCGTGCTTCTCAATTGCCTTCTTCAATAGTAACGTTATGAGAGTGATGATTTCACACTGTGTCCTCAGCAATATAATAAAAAAGTGAAAAAGAGCTTTCTCAGAAATTTTCGTTTTAAAGGGTTTTTAAAATAACATATTTTTTCGTGCAGACTGCTTATTTCTTTGACACAATATGAAATAAAAAACCTAGGAAAGTTTTTGTCCACTTCTATATAAGAATACTGAGTTCGCGGTGGAAACTTTCACACTCTTAACTTTAATATTAGAGAATAAAAGTTTGAAGCACGCGTAAATAGACTTACTCGTTCAATTTCTAAATAAATAAATAACCATTTCTAACTTTCTTGGGCATCAATGCCTCAGCGCATGCATTATAATTCCCGGGAGTATTTTAGATCACAATCATAAAATATCAAGAAGCAGTAACTACACTCTTGGACGCATGTAATTTTTATTTCACAGCATACTTCTTTTTTGCACTAAATTTTGTGGGTTAATTTATGAAATCGTCAATTTCTGTTTTTCTTGACAAAACAGTGTAATGTTCCCTGGGACTGTAATTGCCTGGGTATCTAGAACGCAAAATCAAATATAATATTGATATTTCCCTGGAAACTATTTATGGTGGGGAATGTCTCAGGAAGTTGGTCATGCTGCAGCTATGATAACTTGTTCTAGAATCCCCAAGAACACAGGGAATATGAAAACTAAGTACGTTTGAATATGCAAATTTTGATTCCCTTTAAGAAAAAAAAAAAAAATGGTTGGTACCCATTCAAGATGGTCGCTGTGGAATTGGAGCTTTAAACCAACACCCTCAGAGTTCCTGACGCCTTAGCAAGGCTTCGTAATCGGATTATGACGCGTCCAAACGCACCCCAACTTAGCAAGATGGCAGCGCCCTGATGCCGGACTGCACTCACTCGCCTTCTCTGTGGGAAAAAATTGCAACATAATACGAAAGACAATGAAAAATGCACGTGCATAGTGCCAACTGTTTTAGAGTTTTGCATTGAAAAAAAAAAAATTACTGCTCTAGATGCAAGTACCTGCAGCGCTTATAAATACAACCCCAGCATTCTCTTTGCCGTTTGGAATTTTTTGTTATGACTGTCTTTTCGGTACTTTAGGGTATAGCCGTATAAAAATCAAGTTAGGACATCAAAATGCACATACAGGCCGTTTGCATTTAAATTCAAATTCTAAAAAAAAAAAAAAAAGGTTGAGAGTTAGATTAGTGCCATTTTCGCCATGTAGTTATCAGGCTCGGTGGACATTAGATCAGATGATAATCGTTATGATAAGTAGACTGATTAACTAAAAACAGTTAATATAATTTGCTAAAAAATATGTAATGTTGTTTTAGGTGTTAATTGATGAATGTTAATTTTTTTTTTTATCACGATTTGAAAATTGCGACGCTTAGAAGAGCGAATTGCTCATTTCAATCATGCTGTAACTATTTCGGCAGCGTGTCCTTGGTGGGTAGGCAGACGATACAAGTGACCAAGTGACTGGAACGACTACGTCACTCTTCCAAGCGTCATTGTGGGCAAGGCTTGAGACCCGCTTTCTGCGCACAATTTTGAAATCGGGCGAAAAACCTGAAATTGTATTTAATAATATCTAAAAAAAGCATTACAGTTTTGCAATATTTTTCGACTGGTCTGGCCTTCGCCAGACCTGCTTTCGACTGGTCTGGTCTGGTCTGACCTGAAATTGTATTTAATAATATCTAAAAAAAGCATTACAGTTTTGCAATATTTTTCGACTGGTCTGGCCTCCCAATTGCAAGTGCCGTACATACTTCAATTGCAACCTGACCTCTAAAACCAACCATTAAAATGTTGTTGTTTTGTTTTGTTTCTTTAGACAGTGTGTGTATATGTGTACGTGGTAGGTGATAACTTCTGACCGAGCATTCTCTTGCTATTGTTGCCACTTTCCGTTGTGTTAGCATTGTGTAAACTGTAAATTGTGGTTTCTTGTTAGTATAGTTGTGAACAACTTTGTCGCATTGACATCCCTTATGCTGCACCTTTCCCCCGGTCTTACGATGCCTTCCGTGAGAAGGTAGTAGTATCAAAAAATAAATAAAAAAATTAAATAAAGAAATAAATAAACAGATTTTATTTAATTGGTGAACATATCATGACGATTATTTCCTCATCTAATGTTTGCCGAGCCTTATAAATGCATGGTGAAGACAGCACTTGTCTAACACTCACTCCCCTTTATTTTTTTAATGCGTTCGAATTAAAATTCTACACCCTGTATATCCTGTATCCACCGAGTTAGAGGAAAAGATAAACATAATATTATACTTACCGTCATCGCGTCAATATTATATTTCTTCTTCTTGATCCCCGGTATTTTGTTTTCTGTCTTGAGGTCCACAGACGAAACCCAGACGGTTAGAATATAGAAAGAAAAAATATATATGATTTCATCTCAAATCGGACAGTCTAAAAGAGTCTAAGTTTTCATTTTGACGAAAAAAAAAATGTTTTGCGGGCATTTCTCAAATGAAGGAAGGCGAAAAACCGCATGTTCCACCGGATTTTTGTTCTCGAGTTACGAAGCCTAGAAGCCACAGTGGCAGAAACTAGTATTTTTGCCTGCCGTCGCTGGTTGCGTGTTTGACACCCTCTGCTGGAGCCAGTTTTCTTCCTCCACCTTCTTAACTTTTTCCCCTCCTTTAATAGGTATTATAAAGATAATTTAATATATTCAAATATTTTTAGTAGTATTTTTTTTTCTAAACAATATGTCAGACTCGTTGTTCAGGTCGATTTTTGGTAAACTTTGACAGGTCCCTACTCTGTCTGTACTTAATGTAAATTTTCTTTCTTGAACTCTATACAAAGCCCAAAGCAAGCCCATAGTAGATATAATAATATCATTATGATTTGTTGACTAGCCGCTCCGCCACCTTCACGTAAACATTGTGAGAAATAACAAATGTTGAAGTTTGGAATCGATTTTTCTTAAAAACCCCATTTTTTTACAATTTTATTTTTTTATGTTTTCAATATAGTGGTCGACTATAAGAAAACACAATCTAGAATTGTAATATTTTGGTTGTATGTCCTCTATCTGAGCCGCGATCGTGGGAAATCTGTGCTCACTTGACTAAAATACAGCAACCTTACCCGCATTGTGTGCCCCCACGATTTTGAAAAATATATTTTTATTTTCGTTTACGTTTCTGAAAAAGGAACGTAAAGTAGGCCGAGCTTGTGATATTCATTGTAATTTCAAACTTGAAATAAAAGAGAAGCCATATAAGCACACTACAAAACAATGAGTAACAAGTATATACAAATCAAAAGGCCACGCAACATGTCAAAAATTGTTTATATGTAGATTAGAACGGTTCAAAGTAAACGAGGGTGGCCACTGATTATCCACCTATTACGATCTGAATGATAAATTGTCACACCATTCAAATCTGGTACATAAATCTTCTGGAAGTATGCGCAGGGTTTTGTTCTCCTCATATCTTGCAGATCGGCGACGGTTGACTGCACAGTTCTTGCACCTCGCTAATATAGAAATGCACGCACAGAACCCGTAAAAAACACAAAAACATCGACAGCACATTTTCCGAAGGCAGTAATTTTTTTACTAGTACGACGTAACTGTGAATCAGTTTTCGCACTGTAGGAGCCACGCAGTCCACGGGTTTAGATTTCAACATGCCGGCACGCACTTATTATTGATCTTCTGATTTTCGGCACACAAAGCGGTACTGCATGCCTTGACACGTGTATGCAACTAGTCTGGGTTTTCGCCAATCTTTTCTATGGCAAAGTTCAATGCGCCTTCCTCGAGTGTCTTCCTCCACACGTGTGAGGATCAGATGCCCCTTGGTGGGTTTACCTTCTTCCACTTTTTTTTTTTTTTTTAGCTCCCGGAAACACGTGATTTTCACTTTGGCAATTGAGAGTAGAACGATCCCGTTGACTTTCGCTCTGAGTACCTCAACAAAGCTTTGCGCGTTCGTTATGGAGTACAATTCTGCAGTTGTCAAGTTACAGATGGATACCTGGTGCTTGAGCACTTTCCCCACTCCATCACACGAGCTTTTCCCGTGCTCTGATGCGGAGAATATCAACTTGGTGACGACATTAATTGTATTGAATTCGTATACCTGATGCCTGTTTCTGAAGTGGCTTGAAGAACCGTATGAAGTATAAACGAGTTACGTGAAAATAGGCAATACTTCCTCCAGCCACCCTTCAACGACGTTGAGCGCAAAGAGTGCATGGGACAAGTCATGGGCGATGTTGTCGCTCACGTAGCCGAAGCTTAACGTTCCCTGTTCGGTCGTAGCCTGGCAGGTAAAGATGGAAACCATCTTGCTCTTCCATTGATGACCTAGCACCGCGCGCCAGATCACGACCCTCCAGTTTCCAGCAAAATCGAAGTGCAAGATGGTGGCACATTGACTTCACATGCGCTTTCTCGAGCCATATGGCTCTTCGCTGCGCGTATAATGAAGAAGTGGGGAATGTATTTTTTTTTTTTTTTCAACTTTTGAAACTCGTTAAAAAATTTTCCAGAAGATTTATGTACAAGATTTGAATGGTGTAAGAACTTATCATTCAATCGTAATAGGCCAGATAATGAATAGCCACCCTCGTTCACTTTGAACATGTTCTATATAGAAACAATTTTTTTACGTCTTGTGTGGTGATTTTGATTTCTATATACATGTTACTCACAGTTTTGTGGTGTGCTTATGTGGTTTTTCTTTTATTTCAAGTTCTAAATGACAATGAATATCACAAGCTCGCCTACTTTACATTCTTTTTTTTTTTTTTTTTTTTTGAAACCGTGAACAAAATTAAAAACATATTTTCGAAATTGTAGTGGCGCACAATGCCGGTAAGCGTTGCTAAATTTTAGTCGAATGAGCATACATTTCACACGATTGCGGCTCAAGGAGAGGACATACAACCAAAATATTTCTAGATATTTTTTTTGTAGTCGACTATTATACTTAAAAGTATTTAAAAAAATACAAATTTACTAAAATGGCGTTTTTGAGAAAATCAATTTCAAACTTTCAACATTTGTTCTTTCTCACAACGTTTACGTGAAGGTGGCGGAGCGGCTAGTGAAGAGATCATAATGGTATTATTATATCTATAATGGGCTTGCTTTGGGCTTTCTATAGAGCTAAAGAACAACAATTTACATTAAGTATATAGACAAAGTGAGGACCTGTCAAAGTTGATCAAAAATTAACCTGAACGAGGAGTTTGACTTTTTTTTTTAATAATGTTTTAAAGTATTTGATTACAGCAAGGCATATAGTGCCTATTAAATGAGTTAAAAAAATTGACACGGGGAGGAAAAATATATCGATATATATATATATATATACCAAAGTTTCAGAACGAACCGTCATCTCATTCAAAACATTCGAAAGTTATAAGTGCATTTCTAAAATTTTATGTTGGAAAATAGGGCCCATTTTCGGTAACTGGTGCCATCTTCGAGGCTTATGTCGGCCGTCATTTTCCCATTGAAAATATCCCCTGAGGACTACTACAAATGGACCAGAGTGAACGCGCATGCCGGAGCCCTTTTGGGCTTTATACGGGATGCACACATAGCGCACCTAATCTAAACTCTCAAGCTTTGCTTGTTGCACGAATTAAAAAAAAAAAAAAAATAAAAATAAAAAAAAAATCACTTACAACTTTTGAGTAAGAAAATGTTTGTTCGGAAATTTTGGCATCTTGTTCGGACTCCATCGTTGCATTTTAGCGGAGAAGGAGCATTCAGCAAAGCGTCGTTTAATTTTGCAATAAAAAAACTTTTTTTTTTGGGGGGGAGGGGGGTACATTTTGTACAGAAGGCAAAGTGAGACGGACCCATGTTATGTATCAACTGTGTGGCATAGCCATATGCTCCCCTCAAGCATCTGCCTCAGCTGGACCTCATATAACTTGGTTCTCCCCTGCAGAACTTCCCAACGGTGGCGGCATCTTCCACCGGGGCGTGCTACGGAGCGCCCAGCGGGTACTGTCAATGCTCGACAAGCCACTGGCCGACGCCCTGGCCCGGCACCCGGACTACGATCTGGTGACGACGGGCCACAGCCTCGGGGCCGCCGTGGCCGCCGTCCTCGCCTACTTCCTCAGGCCGCGCTTCCCAGGTACCAGAGCAGAGGGGCCTGGAGGTCTCGCAGGCAGTCTTGTGCACGCGTTGCTCGTAAAAAATAACCGATTACAATTACAGTTACTCTTAGTGAAAAAGTATTCAATAAACCGATCTCACCAGCCACCTTGACTACGCCACCATGGTGGCGTAGTTCCCTCGATGCCTTGCGGAAGCTCGCTTCCGCAATGCATCAAGGGAACTTTAGTGTTTCTGCACGTGCGACAACCTCGCTGGAGCTCTGAGCGTGGAGAGCACGAGAAGGCGCACGAGCCCTCTCGCGCGCTGACGTCTGCCTCTTGTGAACTAAGGTTATGGCAGTATCCTGCATGCACGAACGCTTTGTGAGATCGGTGTATTAGATTACTTGATTACTTGAGAACGAAAGTAATTGGCCGTCACTTTTCCGATGGTAGCTAATCATGTCATTTAACACTTCAAACCGTGGTGCAGAAAAGAAAAAAAAAGAAGAAAGGTTTAGTCGAAGGAACAGGCACAGAAGGGAACGTCCCAAACTCAGCTAACCTGGTTTATCTCTCAAACATCCTGTATATATTCCCGCACAGCCACTCTGAACCACCTTCTACGCAGAGATGTCCTTTGTTGGAAGCATTTTCAAACACACACAAAAAAAATATACACGTTCACAAGAGCCCCCAAGCACACTATACGATTATTCTCGACCACCTTCTACGCAGAAATCTCCTTTGTTGTCGGTTTTGAAAGAGGGTCCTTTGTACTGTACATTCTTGGATTGGACTTAGGCTAGGTGACGCAAGCTACCGCCTGTTATAAAGCGAATAGCCATTAACTTCCATCCATCCATCCATCCAACCGAATAATAAACCACTCATTTTCTCAATCCACCAATTTCGGTAAACCTGTCGGGGACTTGGTTCAATGATATCTTGGCAGCAAACTTGTGCAAAGGGCGCCATTAAAAAGGGGATGGGGAAATAGCAATGGTTACAAGTAATTCTAGTACTTCCAAAAGTACTCATATTACTCTCTTGATATTACTTTCTAATAAATGTATTCAAATGATTAGAAATTCATTCCAAAAATAATCAATTACGAGTAATTTGATTACTTGTAATGCACCCGGGAAAAGATAGCAAGGGCCACAGAATTGGGGCTTCTAGCTGTTTCTGTTCCGCAGGTTCATTTCCAAACGTAGCCACGTTTACTGACACAGCCTTAGAAAGTCAGGGACTGGAGGGTCCCAACCATCTTTCTATCGCTCGGTAACCAATCATATTGCGGCATTAGTTAATGAGAGCGCCGAAGGACCAATCACGAAGCAAAAAACGCAAATATAATGAGCCCCACTGCAGCCTGGGCTTCTTGCGCTACCGGTGACAAAACGTCGAGGTAGACACGCTGCCAAAAAGTCCTCCAGAACGAGAACGTGCTGAAGGCGCAGCATCATCAGGGTTCTTTACCTGTCACCGACAGTGTGTCGTGTTTCACACTGCCCTAGCGAATAAAAGCAATGACGTCTGTTCTGCTATATCTGTGTAGCTTAGTTGACGTAGTGAAACAGCCACTGGGTGGAAAGACAGCACCGCTCGCGTCGTGGCAACACCTTATTTGTACGTCCTTAGTGCTGTTGCTTCATGAACCGATCATCGGAATCCCGACAATTTTCTAGTGTTCTTTACCGGCGCCTGTGACATGTTTTTTTTTTTTTTTTTCGTATCTGGCACACCTTGATGTATGGTGGGTACCAGAGGTTGAGCACACCAGTCAGAGGTTGCAGGCGCCATAGTCTCAAGGCAGTGATGCCAAATCTGTTGTAGAGCTTATACGGTCACTCGCAAAGGACGTGGTTCACTGGCTGAGAATTTCCTCTTAGCCCCTCGGCCAATGGGAATCGAGCATTAGCCGACAAGAACGCTAGAAAACAAGTCACGGAGCAAACATTTCGTGAGCCACGTCCTCCGTTTCGTAAGCTGTCACTGCCACAACTTGTCAACACAGTGACAACCAATCATCTTCGGCATCGTCTTCAGATGGCAAATGGGAGATTAAAGGTGACTACGCCGTGAACAGGTCCCTTTTTGAAGACGCCGTGTAAGCTGCGATCGTCGGCACCAATGTCCACGGCCCCGATGTTTGCAGGTGTTCGCTGCTTCGCCTTCTCGCCCCCTTCCGGTACGGTGGACGAGACGAGGGGTCTGGCCATGCGGGACTTCGTGATGACGGTCGTGGTGGGAGACGACATGGTGCCCCGGCTGGGCCACAATCAGCTCGAAGCTCTGAACAGGGAGATGGTGTCCGTCCTGCTTCAGTGCGACATGGCCAAGGTACGTACTGGACTACGCTATACGTGAATTCCATTCATTTTCGATCATGGTTTAAGGAGATAATGAAACGAAATGAAGAAGTACCAGGACAATATCGGTAAAGCAACGATAAAATTGACGAAGGGCACAAAAAAAATCTGTACAAGGAACCCCCTAAAAATTTTGCAAGGTCTTTTTTTTTTTGTGCGAAGATTAATAACGTTTTAGAGAGCACTTATTCTCGATCCAAATGTAGCGCTAGCGGTCGTAACTAAATGCAAAAGTTTAAGAAATAACATTCATCTTCGTCAAAAGTGATGCGATCTTTTTAACATTTCAATGGAAAAATGTTTGTCCCGCGGAGCCTTCGATAGGAGTTTTTTGGAGGGGCACACGCTGTACACAAAAAATCCGTCGTGTTTGTGTACATCTCTTCCATGTATGCCCTGTTATTTCTTTTTTTTAACACTGTTTTATTTATTTTTTTATAATTCTGTACCAACTAGCCCAACTGAATGTCTCGCTACCATGAGCGATACAAGAAAACGTTTCATCTCGCAGCAACACGTTCACTGCAGCCAACACGGGCAGAAGCGGCCATAAAGGAACTCGGAATGCTCCACGGTAATATTTAAGGATCACTGACAGGGTATTTTTGCTCGCCAAGGTGTTTATTTTTACACGACACAAGAGAGCCCAACTACCCAGAACACAGTTTGCGGATCAAAATTTTTTTTCTTTTCGCCCCAAAAACTGCCGATCGAGAATTGGCCGGTTTGAGTCGCGCTCACTCTCTTCTCTGTGGTCACGTGCCGTTTTCTATGGTTTTAGACACAACCACCAAATACGTGATCAAAGTCGTCGGTCATCAAAGACACACACTCAGTATTAAAAATAGAAACAACAACTGTGATAATCATTTTTTTTTACTTCTAAAAAACGGCAAATACATTGATTGAAAAAAAAAAAGAAAGTTGCACAGCCACGTAGTTTTTTTCCTCCCAGTCCAGTTTCAATCTCGATTTCAAACAACGAGTTTTTTTTTTTTTTTTTTTGCTTTGCTTTATTAAAATTATAGGTGACACTCTAGCAAAATATTGATTGGGTAGTCTTCTGACATTATTACAAATCACCTAACCAAAATTTAAAAAGAAATTTGGGGGGGTGTCAGTGTTCCTTTTAAAAGCCATGGTCAAACTGCTCCTATATCGCACAAAGGGCAATCTGGAGACAGCCGGAGAAGTGTTTCTTCCTCGCAGATACAAAAACTGTCTGCAGGCATGTTTGAATCATGTATGAAGTCAACATGCTTCGAACATGGCTGAGGCATGTCCACACTCCACAGATGTCATTGGGTCTGCTTCAGACCTCGTGCCTTTTGTATAATGAACGAACAGTAATGTCGGTTTGGGAAGCATACTGATACATTGGGCGTTACCCGAGCATACGCAGAGCTCTCTTCTGCCTAGATACTTCGTATCTTTCACCTCGGTCGCTAGAAGGTTATTGCGACGGATTCGCCGCGATGTGTGCGGTCTCCTGCAACACGAAAGACCCTCTCGTCGATGCAGTTTTGCGCGGCGGCACTATAGGAGCACTTTGGCCAGCTGCACTTTATTTCTGGGGTGAGAATAGAATGAAGGTTCTTTTTTTATATTTCCTCACCCCAAGGAATGTGGGCACGCATAGAAGCGAATCCAGCGCAGCTACCTGAAACTGCCTCGTCAAACGGGTTCTTTCGCATTGTTGGAGCCTTTGTTGATGACGTATGCTCCCGAACGTCGTCGATGCGCCGAGGCCGGTGGTCAAGAAGGCACTTTGTTCCCCGCAGGACGACCTTAACTCCCAGGGCCTGCGGTCACTCTTGTGTGGTATCCGGATGACACCCAAGCTCTCTTCGGACCCAGCCAAGTTCGAGGTCATGGGTGCCCCCACCGGAAAGCTGGCACCTAGCCTCGAAGTCAAGAACCCCAAGCCAGTGAGTGAAACTCGCAAGTCACAATTACTCTATCGATGATGACGACCTCAGTGTTCCCCCAACAAAATGCGTTTCTATACTTCGCTTCAGCGTAGGTCCAGACGCAGCCGACGCTGCCAGCTAATCGGACCAACCAAACAGCGTCAAAAGCGCAAGTCACCGTTTATAATTGGTTTGGCAGTTATAGAACACTACGGAAACAGGAGGAACACCATGAGTGTGCACTTTTGACGCTGTCTGATTGCTCCCATCAGCTTGTAGCGTCGGCAGCTGCGTCCGGACTTAAGATGAAACGAAGTACAGGGTGTTTCAAATAGAGGCTGCAGGCTCTTTAAAGTTTTTGTTTTCTTTTTTCACTTTTTCCTCAGGTAAGTTCGTTTTTTGTATATTTTATAGGAAACAATGTACCAGCTGTGGGCAACGCTGCACAAAATCATAGTGCGATAAATTAAGAAACTCTATGTTTTCGATCGATTTAAAGAGCCTGGCCGCTATTTGTAGATGACCCGAAAGCAGCAGGAAACCTGGCGCTCGTATTGGGGAAAAGACCCAACCGTCACGCTCCTAGCGGCTAAGTGGCGAGCTACACCCACGGGGACAACGACATGAATTGTCATAAATGATTTGTTTGGATTTCTGACGCAGTGCTCGTCAGACGTCTCTAACGTTGCGTTAGTGTTGAACAGGGGCACGTGTTCAACCAGTGAAACACAAATTCAACGCGCAGGTCCCACCCGAACAGTGTCAAGGCAGCCATGTCCAGTCATAGCCCCAAGCTTGATTGAGACAAATGACGTAAATAATTAAATATGCGGGTCTCGGGTAAACACCGAGCTCCGAGAAAAACAAGCTGGACAAAGCGCCCCCTTTGTTTCGATCTCCTCGCCAATAGTATACTGTAACATAAGTTCCGCACTAGAAGCCAATGCGGGCTTCTGCTGCAGCCCTTCCGTAACACTTCGGCGCAAGTGTGGCCAAAGCACGACGGAAGGCAACAGGCCCGTGCTGGATCTGCAGAGCTTCTTCAGATCTTACGTTGCAACAGAGTATGGTCGTGGTTGACCTAAGTCACCTCGTCAGGAGGCTTAGGCCGCATTTTTCTCCTACATCCCAGGCATGATTGTCTAAATTTTGGGTTCTCAAACTGAGTACCTAGGAACCGAAGTGTTCCTCGGAGTACTACCACGGGTTCCCCGAGCTCCCGAATTCCCATGAACATCCTTGCCCCTAAATAACGAAAAAATAGTCAGAGTGCAGGCGAGCTTGGTGTAAGTTGAACATAATTGTGAACCTGAGTTCGGGGTAGGAAAAGGAAAATGCAAAGGAAGACAGAAAAAGAACAGGGGACGTCTCATCGTTGCCCTTTTTTTTTTCTGTCTTCCTTTGCGCTTTTTGTTTTCCTACCCCAGTCTCAAGTTCATCATGTTCCCCTAAATAAAATGTATTTATTAAGGACTGTTTTAGGAGATCTGAGCCTCCCATTCACACATAACTATGGGTCAATCAATCTTAATTAATCTGCAGACTTGTTTACAATGTCCGTAAGTGTTTTTTTTTTTTTGTAAATTGTTTGTAAGTTTTTGTAATGCATCAGAGCGGAAAGTGGAAAGGCCATCTGTCTTCCATTAAGGGCTGCAGGGGTTCCTCAAGATGAAGACGATTGACAACCCTTGGTGTTAAGAAACGTCCATTCATTAAAATGCACGCCGTTGGTGTTGTGGATAGGTGTTGTTGACCAAACAGAATGATTTTTTTTTAATCAATCATTAATATTAGCAGGACGCATCTAGCGAATGGCGAAACCCGTAGAACGGTCTTGCTCCTTATACGGAGAGGAACGGAAGGAGAGGAGGAGATGGGAGAGCCACGGTGTCAGAGCCCCGAGCTTGTACTTGTAGGGTATTGGGTGTGCAATGAAAGCATAGCTTCCTTTGTCCCTACCCGCTGCCTCCCTACAATCAAAACGAATACGAGCGCCGCCTGCTCCTCAGGCTTGGCGTTCGAACGCTCTTCTTCGCTCTGATTGGAGGAAAGGCAGCTGGCCCCGGCATCTACCCACTAAACCATTCAGTCAGAGCTCGGCGCTCTTGACCTAACCTCGCGCTCTCGACTCCTTCTCTCCTTCGGTGTCTCTATGTACAGACCGATCGCTGCAATTCACCGGTGTGCATTGAATGCCGATACGCGTCTCGATCGGCAGGGACACGTGTACACGCGGGTATCACAGCGACAAACTCATTAGGTCGATTTTCCTTTACTGTCCAACACATGCTCGCTCGTGTCGATTGCAGGGTGTGCGGCCAGCGACCATCGACGAGATCCTAGACCGTGCCCTCCCGACCACCAAGTGGCCGCTCATGCTGACTCCTGGCAGGATCCTGCACATCGCGCGAACGGAACACGGGTATCGTGCACCGCGCCCTCTTTGGAATCTTGTAGAAGACTTTTGCGTGAATGCTGCTCAGAAATACACGGAGTACAGCAGCCAGTGCTATTTAGCCTGGCTCGCACGTTGGTTGGCGTTTGACTGTGACCGAGTTCGTCGTGATCTCTCGTGGCCGCCTTTAGACGAGAAAACACACCCCAGTCGGCTAGTAATCTGTTTATTAGTGGGAAAAATCAGGACTGCTTTGACAGATATCATCTAGCCTAACCACAAACCTTGTCGTTTAATGTCTAACCTCAAACCAGTGGAACACGCTGGCACACTGGCGCCACCTGTGAGGCAGTCCTGGAGCTGCGTACAACTACGCTGGAGGCGCACACCTCCCATTTCCGCTCACCCTAAAATAAAAAGACAGCATTCGCGAGTTCAAATCTACGCGCTATTGATGGGAAATTGTCGCTTATAAGACTGCCTGAAAGTGTTTCGGGCCCGTGGTGAAAGTATGATGCGTAAAAAATCTGGGAATAAACGCAGGTTGGAAGTGTTCCAGAGGAACCCGACAGATGGCGCCATTGTAGTGCCTCGTTGAGTTAATTTTAATTAGAAACTACGGCTAGGTGGCGCGAGCCACCGCCTGATTTAAAGGTTTCAGCCGTACCTATCCATCCATCCGTCATATGGGGTCACGAGAAATCGCAGCACACTCGGTCGAAGTCCACCGCAAACGTGACCCACAGCCTTTGTGAGAGCGAGCGGAAGCCTTCTCCAAGGATCCTGCATTCTCTGTGACACAAGGTGTAAATGTATCTTTACTATATATGGACTACGTGGCTATTATAGCTCAGTATATATCCATTCGTCCCCCTCGCTGGCTAAGCAGTTCGAAAGGAAATCACTATTCGAAAATTTTATTTTATCTTTCTTTTTTTGTAGTTCTAAATTATTTTTTCCTATAAAGCCAAAAACCAAAAATGCAGATACTTTATAATAGATCACTAAATTTAAGTAGGGCTTTAGATTATTGATTTACGGGATCGTTTAGCATAGCGCCGAAAAGCTTTGCGTACGCACGGAAATAGGTTTGTCGATGCATGCGACAATCCAAAACGCGGTTTAGGCTGGACGCATGCGCAATGACGAGGACGCTTTATTTTGAACACGCTAAGCTGTTACGCTTGCTAATAATTAAAAAAAACGCTAAGTTTGCGTGGAAACATACCATTAACTCTCTGCTGTCGGGCCTTTTTTTTTGTTTTTGTTTCAGGTACCGGATGTACTGGGCAGCGCCAGAGTACTTCGACCACGTCGTCATAAGCCCGCACATGATGGGAGACCATCTACCAGACGTTATTCTCCACGCGCTGCGCAGTGTGACCAGCACCACATACCTCTGAGGACCTGGTCGCTCTACGGCGACGGACAACGGACAATGCTCTCGGACAATTCGTGACTCGCGCGTGACGTCTTCTTGCCATGCTGGTTGTCACTGCTACTCGATCTCGACGTGGAGAACAAACTCGAGCGTGTTCATGCTCGAGGCTCACGGGACGTTGAAGTGTTATCGAAGGTAGGAAGCCCAGGCTGGAGACTCGTGGCTGGATCAGAGTCACGTATAGAGAGAGCTTGGCCAATAGGAGGCGCGAGCAGAGCCAGGGCGTGCACCAGACGCAGATAGAGGGCTTGGCGTGCTCTCTCGGACAACCAGAAGCCGAAAAGAATCCCCTAGCGGTGATAGCGAGAAACAGTTTTAATAAGAGCATAAGGGTTGAATGTAGTAACTCTTTATGGTTGAAAATATGATGCGCCTGATGTTTCGATTGTAATCATGCAGAAAAATGTAAAAAACGAATGTGCCGCTCGAACTTGGTTTTCCTCGGACAGAGTGTGACCGCTCGGACGGCAGATTCCCGGCCCCCAGCGCCTGGCGTACGGATTATGTCGATCGCTCCACTAGTCGCGCTCTTCCATCGTGATTTTGGATGACCGCGATTGAAACATCACGTGCACCATATTTTCAGACACGAGAGTTACTTATTAATTTCGTTTCTCGCGACCACCACCAGGGTATCATTTCCGGCGTCTGGTTGGCACATTCAGATTATGAAGACGCCCTGCAACACGCCCAGCCCGCTTTCTGCCAATGGCGCCTCCTCATTTGTCTCCTATACATCCCAGTGAATGGCCAAATTCTCTCCATATACGGCTCTGGGCTGGATGACTGAAGGAAGACTGAAGAACCTCCTGTCTGAGCCTGAATCTAAAGCTCGCCTTAAACAGAGCCTAAACGTCGCGTTCGCGACGCTTATGCGAGACGGCCAGTTGGGTGAGGACGGGCATCTGACAGGCAAACATATTTCGTATCATATCCATTAAACAGTGTTCGAGCACATTAACGTTTATGTTTGCCGGTTTGCCAAAAAACATTGTTCGACGTTGCCCGACGAAGACCAGACGACACGCTGTCCTAAGCATCCACATGGAAGAAGCCTCGGCGGAAGTTTCGCCGTTTTTGAGGCAAGTTCCACGTGAAAGCAGACGCCAAGAGTGACGAATGGATAGACCAACGCGCGGCTCTGACGTCACGCCGCTCAGGTAGCGCTGCTGTCGACGCAATGCACGCCCACGAGTACATCGCGGAAATTTAATTTCTGCGCACGCCTGGTGTCCGGTGCCCCGCCTGGTGTCCGGAAAAGCGGGCCTGTCTTTGCGGTGCCGCGGCTTTTCTGGACCAATAAAGATTATTATTATTAATATTATTATTTATTATTATTATTATTAGTGTTATTAGTTTATCATATTTTTTTCTTACTAACAGTTCTCCGGTTGTGGGTCAATATGTTTGCGTTGCTGAATTTAGCAAAGGTCCTACGACCTTTAAAAAAAAACTTTGTTTTATAAACATAACATTTGACCCGATATCAGCCGGAAATGTGAAGGGTCTGTATTAAAAATAATGAGAATATGACCGGTCAGACCATCGTGTAGGTTGTTTCAATACCATGGACACGCTCTAACATCGCCGGAATAATTTTCACCCGAAAGCAGCGGTCTCGAATGCATACTGGTAGACTTTCTGGTGGACTTTCAAAATGCATACTCCTGTGGAAAATGTGAGCAACACCCTTGACTCCCCTTCCCGATAGGCGTAGCAGGCAGACTACGTAGAAGTCCGCTGGCTCCATTTATCGGGAGATGGCGCCGCAAGCGCGACCCTCTGCATCGGTCTGCGTTGACTTCCGCAGTTGACTATGCTAAGGGCGTTGATTTCTTTTGTCACAAGAAGGAAGCCCTTTAATATCTCACGAAGTGAAATCCACCAAAAAATACACCTTTGATTAAAGTTATGAGATCATCGCACCAATTTTTCCGATCGATTTCAGCGCGAACCCGTTAATAATAACACCCTTTATGTCGCAACATTTTACTCTTTTTTTTTATGTATATTTGCGAAAGTGACACAAATTAAGCAGCTGAAAACACTCGATTATTCGATTAACTTTTTACCTCGTATGCCGCGCAAACTAGGTATGCATGTCTCGCAGGCTGCAAACGTTTTTTGACAGACAAAAGTATTGGTCGGTTTTGTGCATCTTTAAACTAAAAGAAAGTTTCTGAGAATGCTAACACCATATCGGAAGTTTTACACTCAGCAGTTTTCTCCGCCACCACCCACGAATGAATTTCCTTTTCGGAACCATTTTTATGGCCTCTGTCATTAAAGGCATTGAACAAGCAATATTTGAAAGGAAACGACTAGCTGAAAGCTGAACGAAAGGCATACTAATTACAGGATGGAACATACTCTTTGTTTGAAGACAATACTAATCAACAGGAGTAAGATACGTGTCTGTATCCGTGGGTGCTAAAAGGATCGCAATATAACCATAATGATATCCGTAGAATAAAGTTCTACTCTGGCTTTAATTTTCTCCTGTACTCTTCCCTCGCTCTTATTCCTTTCATTACATTTGTGTGTGTTCTTTGAAGTATTTCTCTTCTCATTTTAAGCGTTTCACTGAGTGCCAGCTCAAATCTTTTTCTTAGAACAGCCTCTCGTTTTCTATCTTTGTGACATTACTTCCCCTCCTTCGGTCGTAAAACATGAACAAATGATTGCGCTCTGACACTATCAAAAAATTACCCACGAGAAAGTATAACTTCGATGCATCGGAGTATCCGCGAATCGGCAACAAAATACCCCATGAGACCAACTGAGGGAACGCTATCCGGAGCAGTGATGTCAAAACGCCGTGCTGTAATATGCTCTGATTGGAGGGATAGTGGGTAGACTTCAATGTGGATGCATTGAGGTCTACCCACCGTCCTTCTAATCCGAGGTTTTCAAAGATCGGCGTTCTGACGTAGGAGCGAGAGCATAGGCGCAGAACAACCATACCAAAGCGTAACCGTCAAAGAATTTCGATAAACGTTCGTTCCAACCAGGGGCGAATTCAGAGGGGGGGGGGGGGGGGGGGGGGTCCGGATGTCCTGACCCCCCTCTTAAATTCTGCATGTGTAAAAATTTAGGGCGTGGAAACGGGAAAAGGGGGGGAGGTAATGGGGGGGGGGGGGGGGGGGGGGGGAAGCAGGGGTGTCCATGCAGCACACCGTGCCTCGCAGCCTCCGAGACCGGCAATCCAAGAGGCCATGGACCATCGAAGCAAGTTCGTACGGCGCCCAGCGGATGGATGGATGGATGGATGAATACGGCTGAGCCCTTTGGATCGGGCGGTAGCTTACGCCACCTAGCCATTTTGTTTTACCATTTAAGCTTAGAATATTTAAATGTGAAATCTATATTCACTCCGCAGTGCAAAGAAAGTGAGGCTATGAAACCCCCTTGCCATCAGTGATTAAGAAAATACCTAGTTTTCTCTCGATTTCTGCCACCATTCACTTAATCTTTGCTTGGTAATCTCTACAGTCTTGAAATCCACTCTCCCTTCGCTGTCTCTAAAACCCAATGACTTTATTAAATCTATGTTGTCTTCGGTAGGCATAGGGTGAAGCCCTTTACAGTAGAGTATCAAGTGCTCAGCCGTCTCGTCCTCCTCTCCACAAGCAGTGCACACTGTATCAATTTCCTGGTACTTCACTCTGTATGTTCTGGTTCGCAGAACACCCGTTCTTGCCTCAAACAGCAATGAGCTTCCCCTAGAATTGTCATAAATGCTTTCTTTGGCAATAACTCTTTTGTTTAATCTATAGCTTTCCAGAGCAGTCTTTGTCTGCATTCCCTCTAGCCACCGATCTCTTTCTGTGGCCTTAACTTTCTTCTTAACTGAGACTTGCTCTTCCGTATCTTCGCTATAGCCCAAAAACCTTCCTCTTAATTTCCTAGTGCGCTGTCTCCACTTTGTGTCTACACTCCTCATGTATAAATAGCTGAAAACCTTTCGTGCCCATTGCTCCCCATCCATTAGCCTCAACCTATCCTCAAATTCTACCTTGCTCACCGCTTCCCTGCTCTCAAATGATGCCCATCCCATGTCTCCTTGTACTCCCTGGTTTGGCGTTTTGCAATGCGCCCCCAAAGCCAGTCTACCTACTCCGCGCTGTTTTATTTCTAGTTTCGCATGCACTTCGGATTTCATGCATAGCACTGCGTTTCCAAAAGTCAAGCCAGGCACCATGACCCCTTTCCAAATCTCTCTCACCACCTCATACCTGCTGTAATTCCAAAGTGCTCTATTTTTCATTACAGCTGCATTTCTGTTGCCCTTACCTATTATATACTTTTCATGGTCTCTGAGATATTCTGCACCATCACATATCCATACTCCTAGATACTTGTATTTACTAGCTCTCTCAACTGTAATATTCTGTATCTTCAGCCTCTCAACTTCATCCTCGTTAAAAATCATGACTGCCGATTTTTCGCTACTGAATTCTAAACCTAATTCCTCTCCTTCCCTACCACAGATGCTCATTAATTCCTGCAACTCTGTCCTGTTGTTAGCCATTAGTACAATATCATCCGCATACATCAATCCCGGTAAGGATTGCTGAATTTTTTGGCCTAGCTTACTGTAAGAAAGGTTGAACCCAAGCCCACTCTTCTCTAGTCTATCCTCCAATCCTCTCAGATACAACATAAACAGCAAAGGCGATAACGGGCACCCCTGCCTAAGGCCTCGTCTTATCTCTATTTTCCCTGTCGCCATTCCTTCCCATGTTATAATCACCTTGTTATCTTTGTAAATGTTCCTTAATAGTGCTGTTAGTCCTTCATCTAGGTTTAAGTTCTCCATTATGTCCCACAGGTTTCTTTGGTTCACATTGTCATAGGCACCCTTGATATCCAGAAATGCCAGCCAGAGCTGTCTGTTTTCTTTTTGCGCTATTTCTATACACTGTGTTAGAGAAAATAAGTTGTCCTCCAACCTTCTTTGTTTTCGAAACCCGTTCTGTAACTCGCCCAGTATGCCCTCGCAATCTACCCATTCCTCCAGTCTGTTCTTTATAATCTGCATTACCAACCTGTAAATAACCGGTGTCACGGTTATAGGACGATAATTCCTAATATCAGACTTATCTCCCTTTCCCTTATATATCATACTCATCCTACTAAGCCTCCATTCATCTGGAATATTTCCTTTTGTTATCATGGTACTCACTACCTCCCTTAGTTTTGCCTTAGATTTAGGACCCAAATTCTTCACCAGCTTGATAGGGATACCATCTGTGCCTGTCGACGTGCCACTAGGGACTCTTCGTTCCGCCTTTTCCCATTCTCTTTGTCCAAAATCCACGATGTCACAAACTGGACTGCTACTTCCTTCGGTTCTCCTATCTTCCACATGTACCCGTTCCCGAAATTTCTCCTCCATCACTGCTCCTATATATTGTATCGCATCATCTCCCTCTAATTGATCTCCCTGATGCGAGAGTATAAACCTCTGTCTAGCTTGCGTTGTTTCACCGAGTGAGTTCAAGTGCTCCCAAAACTTCTTGGCAGCATTTCTATCTTTCTTACTTACATTACTCATCCATTCCTCACCCTTTCTCTGAATTTTCGCATTGATCAAACTGGATGCCTCTCGGCGACATGTTACAAAATTGTCCCATTTTCTTTTTACTTCCGTTTCGGACTCCCCACTACGCTTGGAATACCTGTGTTCTCTAGAGGCTTCCTGACGTTTTTGTATTGCTTGCTTCACTTCTTTGTCCCACCAACTTTTTGGTCTATGTCCTTGCTTCCCCTTTCGTTTACTCTTAACTTTGTCTAGTTCTAGAGAAAAAAGCCTAGTTAGGCTCTCATAGGTCCAATCTGTATGCCCTTGCCCTGAAACTGCTGCCTCTATTCTTTCAACAACTATTTCCAACTCTTTGTCGCTGCAGAAAGTTTGCTTTGAATTATGTTGTCTAGTTTCAGCATTTACTTCTCTGGCAAAATTCAGCTTAATACGTTTGTGATCACTACCAAGACTTTTGGAACCTTCTTCATCTATTTTCATTACTTGTAACTTACCATATATTTTGTGTGACATGAGTACGTAATCTATAGTTGAATGCAGATTGCCAGTTTCCCAAGTTATGTGCCCGTCACACTTCTGACTGGTATTACATAAAACTAAGTCATGTTTTTCCACCAGTTCTAGTAATATGCTTCCAGTTGAGTCCGTATACCCATCCAGACCCTCAATATGGGCATTCATGTCTCCCATAATAATTATTTCGGAGCCTTCCCCTAGTTCACTAATGTCTCTTGATATGCAATCAATCATTTTTCTGTTTTCCTCTTTAGCACCTGTCC